CAATGGCTTCCTGTTGCTTCCAGGAGCAAATACAAAATAGTCTGCTTGGGATTCACAGGCTTCATAGCCTTGCCACCTCCTACCTTTCCAGTCTTCTTACACCTTCCTCCCCTGACACATGCTCTTTGATCCAGTGACCCTGGCCTCTTGGCTGTTCTACCAACAAGACCCTCCATCTCTCAGCTCTGGGGATTCTCTCTGGCTGCCCCCCAAGCCTGGAATGCACTCCCTCCTTCACTCAGACTCCTGACCTCCCTGGCTTCCTTTAAATTCCAGCTAAAATCCTACCTTCTACAGGAAGCCTTCCGCAACTCCTCTTAATTCCAGCATCTTACCTCTATTACTCATTTCCTATTTATCCTGTATACAGCTTGCTTTGTCTAGATTTGTTTACATTAGTCTCCCCTGTTAGACTGTAAGCTCCTTGAGGACAGACACTGTCTTTTGCCTCTTTTTGTATCCCCAGAGCTTAACACAGTGCCTGGCACTTAGCAGGCACTGAACAAATGTTTATTGATTGATTATGTGCCAAGCACTCCTTCTGAGTCTAGGGAAGAGCTAGAGGAAGAGCCCTAACATGTTGAGTGGACAACCCCTGTGGAAGATTGAGCGAGCACAGCCTTGGATCGATCAACAATGAGCAATCGATGGAGAAGTGCCAGGCACTGCTGTGTTAAACCCTGGGGAGACTAAGACAGAAAGGAAAGAGCCCTGCCCTTAAAGGGCTTACAGTCTTTTGTGTCCTGGAGCCCTCTGGCAGTCAGTCTAATGGAACCCATGGGCCCCTCTTCAGAAGAATGATTTTCAATGCATAAGATAAAATAAAATAAAATACACAGGATTACAAAGGAAAGCGATTCTATTGCACTACAATTATAAAAATATTAAAAAACCCCCCAAGTTTACAGATCTCAGGTTAAGAATTCTGTGTCTATTCAAATCCAGTCTTAGAGACTTGCTAGCTATGTGACCCTGAGTAAGTCACTTAACCCTGATTGGAGAGAGAGAGAGAGAGAGAGAGAGAGAGAGAGAGAGAGAGAGAGAGAGAGAGAGAGAGATGAAGGAAGAGGAAAACGGGAGAGAGAAAGAGAGAGGGAAAGACAGAAAGAGACAGAGAGAGGATGAATTCCTGAGCTAGAGAATGAATTCCTGAGCTAAAGGATGGGCTTCAGCCAAAGGATGGGCAGAATGGCAGAATTATAGAGGTGGCAGGGACCTCAGCTGCCGTCTCTAATCCAAGACGTACCCTTCAAGATTAGTCTTCACAAACACGTAACAAATGGTCCTCATGGGCCCACCCCTCATCCAGGGCCTATATCCTCAGTAAGTTTCTGAATAAATGAATGAACCATAAGGTTCCTTGTCATATTTGCTAGCAGCAATCAAACAGTCATAAGGTCATGCATTTTTACAACAGAAGGAACCTTGGGAGCCACTTAGCCCAATCCCCTCATTTTACAGATGAGGAAACTGAGGACCCAAGGGGATTGGTTAGGATCACAAGGGTAGTAAGCTGGGAGTTGAGCTGGGGTCCGTTGACTCCACATCCTTCTCTTTCCACAGTACCCTGCTGCCTCCCCATAGTCACTTGTCAGGCATTTCTTAAGTCCCAGGTTCTATGCTAAGCTCTAGGGATACAAAGAAGGGGAAAAACAGTCCTGCCCTCTGGGGCTCACAGGCTATTTAATGGTAGGGACAAACTGTGAATTAGGAGGTAGTTATAAAATACATTCAGGATGTAACTTTGGAGGTACTGGTCCTAGCAGCTGGTGGAGGGGATGGTGGGTGGGTAGGAGACTGAGAAAGACCCTCCTACAGAAATTGGCATTCTTACAGACTCTTGAAGGAAGCAAGGATGATGAAGATGGGAGATTCGATACGAAGTCAAGAGGACAGAAGATGGGGCACAGAGAGGAGGCCAGAGTAGCTGGAGGGGAGTGATGGATGCATAAGAAGACAGAAAGCCTACTTAGGGGCCATGTTGGGAAGAGCTTTAAATACCGAGCAGGAGTTGATTTCTATGCTTAGGGAGTCATTGGATTTTAATGAGTAGAGGAGTGACATAGCCAGCCCCGGACTTTAGGAAAATCACTGGCAGCTGTGTGGAGAGGGGAGAACCTGGAAGCAGGGAGGCCGATGAGGAGGCTGCTTTGGTGGTCCAGGGCAGAGGGGATGAAGGTTTGTTCCAGGGCTGTGGCTCTGGGAGTGGAGAGAAGGGATGTGGACACGTGAGGGGCTAGAAGGTATTTAACCTGAGGACAGGGCTCCGGCTGAATTACAGAACGTGAGAAGCTCTTTCCTTAGCAAGGCCTTGCCCTTCTGTGGTCCTTCGGGGATGGGAAGTGAAGGCTTCTTGGGTGGGAATTCATCGTCACTGCCGCTTTCAGATAACCATCTCTGATTCCTGGCCAGCGGGGCAGGAAGAGCTGCTCAGCCCCCTTGGCTGACACGCTTCCCCCTTCCTCTCCCTCCTCCTCTGACCTCAGGGACACTCCCTGATGGCCCCTCACATCCCTCTGCTGACCTTGGCGTCATCGTCACCACCCGGCGCTTCTTGGAAAAGAACGTTTTGTGGCTCGGGATGCTCGTCATGATTTCTCCCTCCCCAGGTCCAATCAGTTGGGTCCTGTGGAGTCTGCCCTCACACCATGTTTGAGTAAGCCCCCTCCTCCCTTTCCAGGCTTCTTACACCTTACTCCCCCAGCACGTTGTGTGGTCCTGTGACCCTGGCCTCCTCAGGTCCTTGAAGAAGATACTCCTTCTCCAGACTCGGCATTTGCATTGACTCTATCCCACGCCTGGAATTCTCCCTGTCTTGGTATCACTTGGCTTGCTTTAAACTCCAACTGAAATCTCTCTTTCTGCAAAAAGCCTTTCCTAGTCCTCCTTAAGAGCATCTGGGGGGCGCTATAGGCACAGAGCGCCGGGCTGGAGTCAGGAAGACTTATCTCCTGAGTTCAAATCCAGCCTCGCCTACTAGTTATGTGACTCTGGGCAAGTTACTTAACCCTGCTTGCCTCAGTTTCCTTATATGTAAAATGAGATGGAGAAGGAAATGGCAAACCACTCCAGTGGTTTCTTTGTCAAGAAAACTCCAAATGGGATCACTGAGTTGGACATGACTGGAAGTGACTGAACAACAAAATCCTCCTGAATCTTACTGGTTTCTGAGCAGCTGGGTGGCTCAGTGGATATAGTACCAGCCCGGGAGTCAGGAGGGCCTGAATTCAAATCCAACTTCAGACAGTTCACACTTACTAGCTGTGTGACCCTAGGCAAGTCACTTAACTCTTATGGCCTCACCCTGCTCCAAAAAAGAATCTTACTGGTTTCCCTCTGTGATAATCTCCGACATACCTTCTTTGTACACAGTGGTTTGCCAGTTGTCTTTTCCGTTAGACTTGACCTCCTTGAGAGCAGGGATTGTTTTTTGCCTTTCTTGTTATCCCCAGCACTTAGAATAGTGCCTGGCACGCAGTAGGTGTTTCTTGACTTGACTTGTGCTCTGGTCAACCTTTTTATTAGTCATTTTGATAATGCTATAGATGGATGCTTATGAAATGGGGAGATGGTTCAGAGCTGGGAGGGTTAGCTAACATGTTTGGTGACATGGCTGAGATGCCCTGTTACCTGTATAATGAGGGGTAATGGGCCTCTTCTGGTGACACATAGCTCTGGCCCCTTGCTAAAGGACATGTTTGAACCTAAGGCTGGGTCCCAGATGGTGTGTGATTGATCAAGAAGGAGGTTTCAAAAGAGAAACAGCTTCCTCTCTCTTCCTTCCATTTGTGTGAGTTTGTGAGCACATTTGGCACCAGAGTCCCCCAACATGCCCAGTGATGGGGACCATGAGGACCTACAAGGGACTGTTAGTCACCCAAGCCCTTTCTCGAGGGGCTGGAGCCACCAGAAATGGCCCGAGCAATGGTCCAGCCCTACAATTCACTGGGCACAAGTAACTCTTTGGCATCCTTGTCCTTGGGGAATGAGAGTCTAGCAGAGAGACAGACCACACATGAAATCATCAAAATAGCTTGAAATTCTTTTTTTTTTTTAGGCAATTGGGGTTAAGTGACTTGCCCAGGGTCACACAGCTAGTAAGTGTCAATTGTTTGGTCTGAGGCCGGATTTGAACTAAGGTCCTCCTGACTTCAGGGCCGGTGCTCTATCCACTGTACCACCTAGCCGCCCCCAATAGCTTCAAATTCTTACAGGACCTGAATAAATGTATAGATTAGGATGGCACCCAAAGGGAGGGAATTTTGAAGATGGGGATAGATTGGATGAATGGAGAGATGTGAAAGTACTTTCAGTTAAGGAGTGAGCAAGGCGTCGTGATAGGTATGAGGAAATGTAATAAAGAGGGGGTACAGGAGACAGGTGAGCCTGGCTGGAATGAAGAGGCCATGTTGGAGATTAAAAAGAGGCCAAATAGGGCAGCAAGGTGGCTCGGTGAATAGAGCACCGGCTCTGGATTCAGGAAGACCTGAGTTCAAATCTGCCTCAGACACAAAACACTCACTAGCTGTGTGACCCTGGGCAAGTCACTTAATCCTATTGCCTAGCCAAAAAAAAAAAAAGAGGCCAAATGTTAGAGAAACAGGTGACCCAGTTGATGCAAAGCCTCAAGTACCAGGTCCAGAAATCCGGACTCCATCTTGTAAGTAAGGAGGGCTAGTTAGATTGTTCCCGCGATCCCAGCAGAATGGAGGCTCCTCAAGGGCAGGACTGTTTGGCTGTGTCTTTACATCCCCAGCACATAGTATGGTGCTTAGCACACAGCATGCTCTAACTATGAATTGTTGAATAGGTAAATAAAAGAATGCACAGACCGTTCTAGTGTGGCTTCTCTGTGGTGAGCTGGGGGAAGGTTTTCTGACCTCCTCTGGTTTGGGGTGACTCTTTTTCATGCGGAGAACGTGTTTCATCCTGTCTTCATCTCTGGGCACGACTGAGTGGAATGCTAACTGCATCTGACACATTCTTCCTTTCTCCCCCAGGGGTGAAGAAGCGAACCAAGGTCATCAAGAACAGTGTGAATCCTGTGTGGAACGAGGTGAGGAGCTGCTCAGGCAACCTGGAATCCTGGGGGCCTTCCTGGAGGAGGCAGATTTTTAAGGGATATTAAGGAAAGGACATGACCCACACATGGGCTGGACTTACAAGGGATTCTAGGGATTCATGAAATCCTGCTGTGTGATATAAGGAAGATGGGAAAATAGTGGGCCCCTCCTTTGGTCCACTGCCACCCTTTTCAGGGCTTGGGGTCAGAAAACCCTGGGTTCAAATCCTACCACAGCCACTTACTAGCTCTGTGGCCCAGGACAAGTCACTTTACTGCACTAGCTTCAGTTATCCGCCTGTAAATTGAGGGACTTGGATGAGATGATCTTGGAGGATCCTTGTAGCTTGAGATCTAAGACCCTTCACCTACTAACACCCCCTTTTTGAAAAAAAAAAAAGGAGTCCACTCAGTGATATCTGAATGTTACTCTGGGAACTTCGGGCTATCAATTAGGGATTCACTAATTAAGGATTAGGGGCAGCACCTGGGCCTCTTCCTTCCTCCTCCTCCTTTCAGACCAAACCCACCTCCTCCAGGAAGCCCTTTCTGATTAACCCCACCCATTCAAGTCTCATCTTGCTCCGGATACCTTTTCTCACCCCCGACCCCAGTGCTGGGTGGCATTAGAATGTGTTTTCAAGTCTGTTTCCTGGATGTAAGTCCTGTTTCCTCCATGAGGCTGGCCTGAAGGGACATGAAGGAGAAAGAAAGCTTCCGGAAGGAATGTTGAGTCTGATCCGGGGTGGTGATTCCGACCAGACCAGAAGGGGTCTTCAGATCATCTAGTCCAGGGTGGGGACTTGACTGAGTCCAGGTTTTACAGAACAAATCCTTGTACTAATGGGATTTCAGTCAAAGGGCCGCACTTGAGGACCTAGAGGCCGCAGGTTCCGCACCCCTGATTCTAGTTCATTATTGTGTGGATGGGAAGTTTGGGAGCCCTTAGCCTAGAGAGTGGCTCGGCTCCTGCCCCTCTGGTCCGAAGAGGGAGACGCAGTCCTTTTCTCCAAAGAGCTGTGGTCCAGTGGGGGAGATGGCTCATAGGGGGTATCGGAAGAAAGGCAAGCATCCCTTTTGCTGAGAGGGGAACCGCTCATTGACTCTGAACCCTAAGAAAGCAGCCAGGTTCTCCGGGCGTTTCTCAGCCAGCCCAGCTTCTTCTTGTGGCTTCTTCCCAGGTGCTGATCTCTGGGCTCCTAAGCTGGTGTGGGGGATGGGGCCATGACGGGGCAGAGTCCTGCCCTCCCCTATCTCTCTGCCCTCTCCATCGGCATGCTGCTGCCAGGGGCCCTGGGCTGTCCTGCTGATGCTGCCCTTTCTTTCCTTCCAGGGATTTGAATGGGATTTGAAAGGCATCCCCTTGGACCATAGCTCTGAGGTGCATGTGGTGGTAAAAGACCACGAGACAGTGGGAAGAAACAGGTGAGAAACAACAGGGTGCCTGAGAAGGGTGCTGCCCCCTTGGGAAGCTGCAGGACCCCGGCTGGCCTCCTAGCATACACGCTCTTTTATTTTCATTTTTTGTTATTCTTTTTCCAAAAGAATGCTTTTATTTTATTTTTCTGAATTACGTGTAAAAACCATTTTTAGCTTTCATTTTTTGTAATTTTTGAGTTCCAAATTCCCTCTGTCCTCCTTGAGAAGGCAGGCACTTCGATGTTGATTATTCACGTGCAGTCATGCAAAATATCAGCTTTTCTTTTACACCCGGGCTGTGCCTGAGAGCTTATAAGAATAATAGCCAGCATCATGGGACTGTTGGATAATACACGTATGAGTACCTTGCTGGTTATATTATTATTTCTTAGTTATTATTATTAATGAAGCACTTTGAGGTGTTCAAAATACTTTACATACATTATCCCATTTGAGCCTCAAAATAACCTGCGAAATAGGTGCTATTATTATCCCCATTTTGCAGTTGAGGAAACCGAGGCTGGGGAGGGTAAATGACCTGCCTGGGCTCACACATTTCCTGAGCAGGATGATGGGAGACCAGTGCCTTTGTCCAATATAAGAAATCCTCCTGGGAGGTCAGGACGGGGGAGCTGGGAGTGGGTGGGGAGGGGCAGAAGACTGCCTCTCTGAGCCTCAGTTGCTGCATCTGTAAGATGGGGGATTGAGGCTGGAGGTCCCTGAGCTTTCTTCTAGATGTAATATTTTGTGATTTTTCTGGAATAATTTGGCTCCTTAGAGTTCCCTCCCTGTGATTTAACTAAATCAGAAGAGTGTTGTGTTCTGCAGGCGGGAGGTATGAAAAGACTTTGCACTGGAGAATCTCAGAACCTTAGAGCGGTCTGACACCCCGTTTTAGGTATTGCTTGGGAAAATATAGCAAGGACAGAAGTGCAAAAGCATCCTCCCTGTGACCCCTGTCAGGGCACATTCTCCCCTGGGGAAAAGCTGAAAGAACTAAGGGGCTGAGGTACAGCTGCAGGGAAGATGTGTTGCTAGGAGCACTTCAGGACTCCTGGTTCCATTCTGGGAGTTCCCAGCAAGTTTGCTGGCTGAGGGTCTCCCTTGCTCAGCTGGGCTGGCTCCTTCCAGGATACAAAGTCTCCCCTAACAAGTCAGTCCACTGCTGGGTGGGGTCATTGCTGCACTGGCCCCTCATCAGCCTTGATTCCAGTTCAGTGTTTCCAAAGCAGAACTCATTGTCTTTCCTTGCAAATGTCCCTTTCTTCTGAACTTCCCTATTACTGTTGAGGGCACACTTCATCTTCTGGTCCCCCAGGTTCAAAACCCGTTGTCACCCTCAACATCTCTCTCCTACTTAATTCTGACTCTAACTCCAAGTCAGCTGCCAAATCTTGTAATTTATCTCTCTGCTTCATCTCTCACGTTCATCTCCTTCGCTGCATTTACATAAGCCACCATCCCAGTTTAAACCCTCATTGATCCTCCCTTGGACCACTGCTGTGCTGTCCTGATCGGTCGGTCTTCCTTCTTCCTGTTCTTTCCCATTCTCATCCATCCTCCACTCAGATGCCAAAGTGATTTTCTACCAGTGTAGATTTGATCATGTCACTACCCTGCCCAGTGAATTCCAGTGGCCCCCTATTACCTTTGGAATCAAAGTGTTTCACAACCTGGCTCCTTCCCACCTTTCCAATCATCTTTTTTAAACATTTATTTTATTTTTAATTTGTGGAGTAAAACAAGCACTTCCATAACACAGTACAATAAAAAGATGATTACACATGAAACTGCAAAATCTACTATGTACAACTTGCTATTCCTTTCAAATATACAACAAAATTCTTATGTAAATTTCTTTCCTTCTACCCCTCACACACATTCTATTGTGAATGGTAGAGATGGCTACCATTAGACACAAATAGGTATATATGTATATATATTACATATACATACACATACACACATATATATGCAAAATTATTTTATACATACTTCTATTTATCAGTTCTTTCTCTGGATGCAGACACCATCTTTCTTCATGTCTTTTATAGTTAATCTGGGTATTTATAATAGACAAAATAACTTATTCACTCAAAGTTCCTTTTAAAACAACACTGCTGTTACTGTGTACAATGTTCTCTTGGTTCTGCTCATTTTGCTCTTCATTATTTCGGGCCAGTCCATCTATGTTTTTTCTAAAATCATTGAGTTCATCATTTCTTATAGCACAATAGTATTCCATTACATTCCTATACCAAAACTTGCTCAGCCATTCCCCAACTGATGGGCATCCCTGCAATTTCCAGTTTTTCGCCACCACAAAAAGAGCTGCCATAAACATTTTAGAACATATAAATTCTTTTCCTTTTTCTCTAATCACCTTTGGAAATAGACCAAGTAGTGGCTATCTCTCGAAGGCCAAGATAAAAACCCGCAAGGGTTGCCATAGTATCTAGGGTCTTCTTCTCTCAACCACCTGAGGGATATAGATTTTCTGTGAATATCAAGAGTAGGATTAATTCTGTAGGTGGGGAGTAGAGGGTATTCTAAACAAAGGGAATGACAAAGTGGTATTGCTGAGTCAAAGGGCATAGGTGGTTTAATAACTCTTTGGGCATAATTCCAGATTGCTCTCCAAAATGGGTGGATCATTTTACGATTTCATCAACAATGAATTAGTGTTCCAGTTTTTCCAGGGGTTCCCCTCCAACACTGGTCACTTTCCTCTTCTATCATTTTAGCCAATCTGTGAGGTGTAAAATGATGGCTCAGGGTTGTGTTAATTTGCATTTCTCTAATCAGTAATGATTTAGAGCATTTTGTATGACTATAAACTGTTTTGATTTCTTCATCTGAAAACTGCCTGTTCATATCCTTTGACCATTTAGCAACTGGGGAATGACTCATATACTTATGGATTTGACAAAGTTCTTTTTATATTTTAGATATGAGACCTTCATCGGATAAACTATCTGTAATTTTCCCCTCCAATTTTCTGCTTTCCCTCTGATCTTGGCTACATTTATTTTATTTGCACAAATCCTTTTTAATTTAGTGTAATAAAAATTATGAACAAATCCTACTGCCTTGTATGATCTACCTGTACCTTGCACATCTCACTTTATCTCCCATCTCCATGGCTGGAATTCTTTCTCTTCCAACCTCTGATTTTTATAATTTTTGACTTCCTTTAAGATTCAGCTCAATTTTTACTTTCTCCAGGAAGCCTTTCCTACTCCCCCCAGATGCTATTATCACCCCCTCTAAGGTTATCTTTCATTTACTCATATTTATCTTAAGTGTTATCTCCTAAATAACATTTGGGTTCCTTGAGGAGGACTGTTTTTGACTTCTCTCTCTTTTTCCAGCACTTAGAACAGTGCCTAGCACATACAAGATGCTTAATAAATGCTGGTTGACTATTTGCCTTCATATCTGTAGGGCTTAGCACAGTGTCTGTCATGAGCAAGTGCTCAAGGCTTGCTGGTTGATTGACTGATTACTCTGTAAAACCCAGAAGGAAGCTTAGTGGGTGAAGGGAGGTGAGGGAAGGTGAATCTGAGCATGCTTTAAAGACCAGTCCTCATTGGCCACACCTCCCACGACCCCTAAATTGGCCTCTTTGAAATGAGTGATCGTGGTCCTTGGTTCAATTCCCATTTACACAATCTAGGCTCCCACTCAAATGGACAGTTTGCTGTTTGCCATCTTATACTTTCTTGCCTCTGAACCTTGGCTCAGGCTGCCTTGCCCTCCCAAAATCTTGTTTCGCATCCCAGCCTTAATTCTCTGCCTGTTGAAATCCTATCTGACCAGTATTTTACAGAGGGTGAAGCCACCTGTTGCTGTCCATCCTAAATCATTCAGATCATTCCCTGTTCCCAAAGGCCAGAGAGTAATAATAAGGTACAGTTCTGGGGCCTTTTATCAGTGATGTGGTGCTTTTCTTAGAACATCCCTGGGAGGGGAGTAGAGAGGCAGAACAGAATAGAGAGGCAGAGTGCGAGAGGGTTGGCATATTCGACTTGTGGTCGGAATGATCTGCATTCAACTCCCTCTTTAGACACCTACCAAGCTGTGTGACCCTGGACCAGTCACTTAACTTACTCAGCCCCCAGTTTCCTGGACTCACTGACTTTTAAGGTATCTTCCCGCTCTAAATCTGAGATCGTGTGGTCATGAGCATTATTATCCCCACTTAACAGTTGAGGAAATAGTCTTAACCAGGGGAAGTGACTTGCTCAAGGTCACAGGGCTAGTAAGTGATGGAGGCAGGGCTTGGTTCCTGAATCTGCTGCTCTTTCTTTCACACTGAGCTTGTTCAGGCAGTGGTCACCGTTGGAAGTCTGCTCTGGCCTTCTGGGTCAAGGTCACCTCAGCAAGTGGTGTCAAAAAGTCAGCCCTCGGCAAAATTGTGACCCCACCACGGTTTGCCTTCTGGGCTCTCCTTAAAACCCTTAGTGAAGTGCCTGGCATGCAGTAGGCACTTAGTAAATGCCTCCTTCCTTCCTTCCAAATCCCACATTTGTGGCTGACGCATGAAAATCCTGTCTTCATCCTCTGTCAGTGATTGTGTGCTCATCAGGGGATGCCCTTAGCCTCGCTGTTGTTGTTATTGTTATTAGAATTCAATTTAATTAACAACAAACATCAATTATGCCCCAATTTGTACCAGGCAAAAAATGAAAAAATTCCTCCTTTCAGTGAGGAATTCTGTCCTATTAAGGAGACGAGTTTTACATGTAACAATAAGACTAGAGTGATAAAAGAAAAGTGAGGTGACCCCTGCCCTCAACGAGCATACATTCTATTGTGAATAACAATGTGTGCCCACATGAGCAAATACCCGATAATTTTAGGAAGAGGGCAGCACTAGTGACTGGCGGGTGTCAGGGATAGATTAGCGGAGAAGGTGGCACTGAGCTGAATCGCGAGTCCATCTCCCACCCTTTGAGAAGGCAAGCAATATGATACTCGATATACATATGAAGTCATGCAAAGCA